GCAAAATACCTAATAACACTAGGATTATTTATATTTAAATTAGAAAATGAAGAACCAAAAAATACTGAACCAGAAATATTAGGACTATGGCAAATATACTCATTAAATCAAATTGAAGAACAACAGCTACCACTAATATCAATGATCCAACACAACTTATATTATATATTTCACCGAATAAGGGATTACCCGGTATTACATATGATTAACAGATTAAGCTTCACGAAAGAAATTAAAGTAATGACAAATCAAAGAAAAATATACCCTGGAATATTTGAAGAAATAGATTCAGAATTCAAAAAGGAAGAACTGACAGAAATGAACGAACAAGAACTAGAAGACCTAATGAAAGATAAAGAAAAAGTCATCTCTAAACAAATCCGGAGAGCAATAAAACTAAAACAAAAAGTACAAAAAGAGATAGCACCATTAAAATTGATAGAAAAACGAGTGCTCAACCTAGAAAATATTTTAAAAGGATACAAGTACCTATCTATATTTGAAAAGAAGAACTGACCAGAAGTCGCTACAATAATGGAACGATATCCTAGAGTAACTGATCTAAAGAAGTTACCAGATAAAATACTAAATAAAGCTAAACAACAATTGTATCATTATACATTATTCTACAATGGAAACGGCGTAGCATACAGAATTAAAGTACGACAAACACAAGACTATCAAGTTACGCTTGTAACCATGAACTATTTGATGAACGAATATGAAAATCTGACCTTAATCTAGAAATTACCGGCAACACAAAATCCGGCCACCTAATTGTTAACCTTAGCCCCTTTAATCCATGCCTCACGTCTCCGGGAGGCACAGTTCTGGTAAATGATTGACGCAGTCGTGTATTGCTCAAACTGCTTTTACACCCCGAATCATTCATAACATTTACGGTTCTGAATTACAAATCTACATGTAGCTCAAAAAGCAAATCCCAGTTAAATCGACTTTCCAATAGTGTTGTCATAGATAAATCCAATTTTAGGTCAAAATCCCGTAAAACAGATTCCAGAAGAACATAACACTGACTAAATCGACCAACATTATAGCTAGTGCCGGCTAACTTTGTCGGTATTGTGTTCTTTCGGGAATCTGTTTTTCGGGATTTTGGCCCAAATTCGATAAAATCCATGTGTACATGACCTGTGATCTCAACTTCTTTATTCAAAGTAACTAAAATGGAAAATTTTCTTATCTTTGATGCTCAATTATTTAAAGGTGAAATCACGTACTAAAAAGGTTGTATAAAGACACATGATTCATACATCAGAAATTCCCAGGTTTGTAGTCCATTTTCCAATGCAGTGTGTAACTTGAAAATTGAAGCGATCGCGATTTTTCGCGAAAAAATTCCTTGCGAAATTTTGATTTAGATCTTTTGCTATTATCTTCACTAGGAAAACAAGCACTGTTGGATATTCGAAGCTAAAAAGTAAATGTATTGGGTTAAGATTAGGTAAATTGATGATCATCTTGTCTAAAAAATACTGTAGTTGCGTACATACTCCACAATATTCCGATTGGAACTCTTCGAATTTAAATACGATTTCCTTCAGATTCGATTTAAATTCGGATATGAAACCGAATTGACCGAATTTGCAATATCAATCTGTACCAAAAAATGCATACATATGGGCGGATTCGACGCATTGGGCCTTAGCAAGAGACACCAAATTTTAATTTGACCTCCATATTTTCCTATATTCTATTGGTCAAATGTACAAAACAATTACTCGATTATACCTTAATAATTTAAACCTATACCTTAAATAATTTTAAGGATATAATGATTATGCAAAATCATGCGTCCAACCCATCTGCCTCAGCCCAAAACCCATCTCATTCCTACTGATTAGAGCCCTACTCGGACATTTCATTTGACGTCTAGTCCTTATTAGGACATGTCTAAGCCCTATTAGGACATATAATTTGACGTATAAGTCCTACTAGGGTATATCGTTTGACATCATGTATATTGTTTATCTTTAAAAAATTTTTGGGGTGGTGCGTCTACTATTGCAATCCTCCTGTAATTATAAATAGTTTTGGGCGAATGTTTTTGTTAGATACATACGTACATACAATGATGCTATTTAATTTGACATTTACTTTTTATATCATTATTGTTGAATTTGACCAATAATGCGATTCTGAAATAAATCCAGATTTCGATTTAACATAAATTCGAAGCTGAAGATCGCTAATTAAATAAATCCGAGATTTAAAAAATAAATTCAGTTCCAACTCTATAACTAGTGCGATATTTTGCAAAATGCAATATCTCTTAATATCAATATAATAAAAGCCAATGCACATCACATAATCAAATTTTTTTTATATTGCATAAAAATGTGGTTTAATTTGCACGAGTCTGGACACTCTACGATGAAAATAATTTTATCACATATCGGCGAATTTGCGGAAATGGTCCTGGATTGAATCTAAATTATATCCTCAAAATTATCCGCAAAATGAGCCCCAGTTGTAGCAAACAAATATACGTACGTACATATAAAGATTTAACAGTTAAGGGGTAAATCGATACAATAACACCGTTATCGTTATTGTATCTATTACCCCTTAAATTATTATATGTACTGCACAAAATTTGGGTTCATTTTGCGAATAACTGAGAATATAATTTTAATTATATTTAGATTCATTTCCGCCGCAAATCCGCTGATATGCAATATTATCATATGATATGTGTCTATTGTATATATATTAGAGTTGTCTCGGCAATATCTACCCCCTTTGAATGTTGTTTTTTTTATAGTAATGTGATTCAGTTAGGAGAGTGCAGTTTACCGTTTATTACGTAATTTCAAGAGGTTAGCAGTCTATTATACGTATATTATGTATAAAAATTATCATTATGATTGGTTGCTAATTCGATCACAGAGGGGTATGCCCTTATAATAAAAAGAAATTACGTAATAAACGGCAGAAGTGATGATGCTTCGTAACTGCGAAAAATTAATTTCATCTCTTATCTAACTTCCAGTGTTGGAAATCTGTGTTGAGACTTATGTTCTCATGAGAACAAATTTATGTAATTTAATGTTCTCAGAAATTTATTTATTTTACTTCGGAAAATATCAGAATTTTTGTCATGTTCATTCATATTCTTTTCGGATGATTTCGGAACCTCGCTTTAGTTTATCTCTATTATACTCATATTATACTTATTATAGAGAACATATTTTTCGAGTATTGTGTTCTCAATTTTTTTTTCTTAGAGAACATTTATAGAATATCAAATATCTAAAGGTATGAGAACATAAGATTTCCAACACTGCTAACTTCAGAACTTTGTGCATTTTTTTATATACCTTATAAATAAATTATAAATAAAAAGATCACATGAACTAATAAAAACATACAATGTACATACAATATAATATAGGAAACGATATTTGTTTTACACTTTTTTTTTTTTAATTCTATAGTACATTCGAGTTTTGCTTGAAATAAATTTTATCATCGATCACCGATCATATTCCTAAGATGAATAATAGGAATCGAATTTAAAATAAAATAATAAATACACTAATATAATAAAGAATGGTAAAGGGAAGAAAAGGAAATTTTACAGATAAACGAAAAAGCTGAAACATATTAGTATAATATAATATGATGATAAAAGTTAAATTATTAAAATGTATATCTTAAATAAATTAATTTTTAACACGTTTCTTTATCGAAACGAAGTGAATATTCCAATGTTCAAAAGAATTTTTTACATGAAAGAAATAATTAATCAAATAAACTTTTTACATTTCATCATCGTTGACACCATCGATGTTCCAAGACTCCATTTATGGTTAATCGTTGCGTAGGGTTCGTCTTGAACATTTTTTTTAACAAATCTCGTAAATCATCAGAACAACCGGACTCGTAAAGTGCCGACTCGTCATATCGACCATTTATGATCTTGTATTGTAAACGAGGTACGAAATCATCCATGAAAGGTAATTTATTTGTCACAAGGGCATAAAGTACAACACCTAGACTCCATATGTCAACGGCTGGATCCTTTAGAGAGGTTTTACTACGTGCTTGTTCTGGAGCACAATAAGCAAGTGACCCGCCAGCTTCCTCAGAAAGACCGCCAAAATCATTTTCATCATTTTGAAATTCTGTCAAACCAAAGTCGCAAATTTTCCATGTTTCTTCCATATCTATCAAAATATTATCCAATTTTATATCTTTATGTACTAATCTCATGTCATTATGTAAGTATCGTAAACCTTCTGCAATTTCCAGAAAGATGTTACGTGCTTCATTTTCATCTAGCCCCTTGTTTTCACCTTTACAATTTTGTTTTATATAGTTCAAAAGAGTGCCTCCAGGGCAATATTCAGAAAACACATAGGTAGCATATTCATCCTCTTCGCGAGCAATAATTTGTACAATATTGGGATGAACGAGCTCACGCCATATACTGATTTCTCTATATAAAAGTTCCTACAAATTAAAATATCATAACATCAATTAAAAACATTCTTTAAGATATACTGTAATATAAAATGTTATTTACCTGAATGCGATCGCTATCTGATTCTTGATTTTTGCGTACTATTTTAACAGCAGCTTTTTCTATATCATAATCATTGTTCATCTTAATAGCTTCTTTTACTGTGGAGAAGCCACCACGACCAATCACTTTACCAATAATATAATCACCAATTTGCTGACCTTCATCATAAGGCATTGGTTTAGACACAGTAGACTGAGCCAAACTAGCTAAAAAGTTTACAGCGGGTGACCAAGGAAGATTTTGGTAGGATTCTGCAGTAACTATATCAGGCAATGAATCACTGATTGGAATATGGTTTTCAGTAGAAATACTTCTTGATCTTGACCTCGCGGTAATAGGTGAAGTTACTGGCTGGGAAAGAAAAGTTCCAGGTTGAAATGGTGGATTAAAAGTCTGTAATGATTTTTTGTTAGATGAGTGCTGTTGCGTTTGCGTTGACCGCGCAGGACTTGATACAGGTGACGAGCAAGAGGAAGATATCGAAGAACATGGAGAAGACAATGAAGGAGAAGTATTACCACTAATTTGTTCAAGTTGTCTAGCATTATCTGTTGGTATTTTATAGTTTTGATTATTCAAATCATGCTCTTTATGGCTTTTCTGTCCAAAGTAATGTATTGAGGTAATTTCCGAAGTCGAAAAGTAGACAAAGGGCATTCCATGAGCAGGAGCAGATGCACGTCGATAGGCCTTCGAATTTTTCGCAGGCGACTTTGGTGACTCAACATTTTCATTATTACTACCGTCTTTTATTATTTCATCACTTTTTTCCTCTTTTTTTTCCGATTGATTATAATCAGGGTCTATGGCAAATTTGACTTTGTATATACTAGATCTTTTAGGTCTTTTAGTTTTTTCTAAACTATATTTAGTCGAATCAGAGGTTGGCTTTTTGACTTCGACTTCGTTATGTATATTAACCGGGCAATCTTGTGATGATGGTTTAATGTGTTGTGAGGAGGAATGAGCACTTGTATTAATACAAGGTAATAAGTCTTTTATTTTCTCTTCAGAAGCAATGTTAGCATCATTTGGAGAATTAACAGGTGTTTCTGGTCGGATAAAATTGATAGAATTATTATTTAAAATCTCTAAATCGTGATAGTTATTATTATATTCTTTATCAGGCCATTTAACCGATTGAGAGTTGTAAGTTTGTTGCCGAAGACTCATTATAAATTAAATGGTAATAATGACAAAAAAGTTTCTTTTGGTGGCTTTTTACTTATCCAAAAAACAGTACATACAATTTATGTATGAACCGATGGAAAAATAGAACCGTGGTTTTTGAAGTTCTTAATTATTTAAGAATTTGTTTTCTAAAAAAACCCATAATATTGTAACCTTAACAATCTTAACAATATTATTCGGACGTTTTCGAAATTAATATTAATCAGCTATTGCAATTTTTGCAGAAAAAGGAAAAATATTACGTCAGTTTCAGTGGCCACAAAATAAAAAAGAACAATTACGTTTTGTTTTTCTATTACACCTTATCGATAAAAAACAAATGAGCAACTAATTGTATGTCGTGTTTTGACCTGTGAATTGTTACTGTTACGCCTTTGTATACCCAGCTGAAAACATATCCGGTTTACGGATTTTGAGGCCTTTATATATTGTCCATGACATTTAAAAAAGATAATTTAACCTACTGTAACACTATTCTGTTTTAAGTTTCTTTCGTTGACGGTTTTATCCGTTTATCTTTTTGCCAATCCGCCTTTACCTCTGGAAGTATGGATAAGCTCGGTTATAAATGAAAAAGGTCGTTTCACCAGAAAAAGTTATCATTCACGAATTACTGTAATATACAGTATTTTATGTAAGAATTGGTTTTGTGCATCTAATAAATTCATTCGATATTTTATATTATTATTAACCGTTAACAAATTCGGAAATTCCAATTTATTTAAAAATATGCATACGCACATACATAAGTGCATATGTACTTTTTTTTATTAGCTTAAAATCTTGTGACGATCACTCATGATCATTCCTATAAGCGAGTTTATTTTAATCAACCGCAGATAGTATTTGGGGCTTATATATATGCCGATACTATATAAGTATATCCAAGGAAAAAGTGAGACTTCGGGCTTCAGATTCACAGCTTATGAAAGTGATATATATATTATATGTGTCATTATATTACCATTGAGACTAAATTCGGTAAATAAAATTGAAAGGCCGAAATCTTATTTTCCATTGGAAGCTCTCATTTAATTGACTTGTAGAAACATTATCTAATTGTAAATCTTAATATGCCAGCTTTGGGCCCCGAATGAGCTCAGAAATGGCATATTAAATTTAAAGCCAGATAAATTAGTTGTTGGTGTGTAGCATTTAATAACGGCAGTTTACGGCGACCAGACTGCCAAATAACTTGGTTATGTGGCAATATTCACGTTTATTTCTACTAAATAAGTACAATTTGTTCTCCGTTGATTAATTATAGGTTAAGAGATTTCACTCTATTTTTAGAAACAAAGACTTAGTAAAAAAATAGTAAAAAATCAGTAATTTGATACGAAGCAGCCAATAACAAGAATTATTTAAGTTTTTTTTTTTTTTTTTTGTATTAAAATGAGGTCTTGCTTATATTTTTATTAAATAATTTATATAAGTAGTTACATAGAAGCTATATAAAACCTTAATTTGTATGATGGCAAATAAATATAAACAATGCAGAAATAAGAGCTTACTATTTTATCTGTAATCTAAATCTACTAAAGTGGTCAAGACTTATCTATGTTTGAATAGTTAAGATAAATTAGTAGAAGTATTATATTTAATCTATATAATAAACCAAGTATTAAATCTAAGAGTAGTCTAATTAAGAAAAAACAAATATTAAATTTAAAATATAATTAATTAGTTATACTATATAGGTAACTGTAGAATAGTTATAAATATATATACCTTTTTTTAAAAGTAATAAGAAGTAAAATAGAGTAGTATTAGAGAGTTTAAAAAAAAATTAATAAATTTTTTTAGTAAAAGAAGTTGTATAAAAATTTTTTTTTCAAATCTAATAGCTATAAATGCAGAAATTAAATGTTATTTTTGTATAAAACTTCAAATTTTAAAAATACAAATTTATACTTATTTAATTTTCCTAATATATATGATATTTCCACACTCTATTTTTGATATTTCTATACCCTGATAAAAAATTTACATATGATTGACATCACGTGTAACAATCAGTTCAATTATGACATACAGTAACACATGCCAGTTGCAGATATTGAGAAAAAGCACTGTTTAATGTTATTTTTAGATATATAAAGAGCTAGTTTACTGAGATATGTATCCAAAGTCATGCCAATAAAGATGATCTTTATTTATAATTTAATTTTTTAAAAGTATTCACATTCAAAATGTTTTTAGTAGAAACTCTTAATTATGCTTTTTTGTTCTATTTCCAAAAGAAAATAGCAACTTCTACTTGTTTTATATTGCTAGATTTATAACAATAGAAGACACTTTCCTTTCAATATGGAGCTGTTAAATTATCTTGTTAATTTGAGGTTTTTTTTCAAATCTATTATTCATTCATTTTGGTTCCAATGGAAAATAATTAACTTATTATAATCTTAACTATATTTCAAAGCCAACTTTTACTTTATGTTGGATTATGAAACTAATCAAGTGTCTTTTGTGTAGTCTAGTAGAATTATTTTGAACCTAATAATAGTTTAATAATATTATATAGCCTTGAGGTAATAAGATTAGTTGTCCTTGATGCAATTAGTTGATTTATCTTTTTATATATTAAAGAATTACTCTATGTATTGTATTACAATTTTTAATAAAGTGTAAAAAGAAGTTATGATTGCAATGAATATATAAATAAAAAATAGAGCATGCAAACAAATATTATACAGTAGTATCAATTAATATATTAATGAGACTACTTTTGAATTTTTTTAACATTTTAATTTCTACTAATCAAAGAAGATTTCTACTTGACTAATTATAATTAGAGAAAGTTCTATTATTATAGCCAATATTGTGACACATTTCGCACTTTTTATCTATTGTTCTTAATTCTTGTAGTTCAAAGGCTAAAGGAATTCTTCAAGTGAATAATTTGGATTTATTTCATGCATCTTCTAGTACATGTAATAGTTGAATCTAATAAATATGATACTAGTTCTTGAATTATTCTTAAGAGCATTTTTCTGTTGTGAAACTAGCCAAGATTTATATCTTTGACTAAATTCTTCAAGTAATTGTTCAAACTAATTATCTTCTACTAAATCTTGCTAGGACAATATATCTCTTTCAATCTACTAGTATTTATAAACATTATAAAAATTCAATATTTTGGAGGTCACAAAATATTCTTTGATTATATATACATGAAAGACCTATTTTTGAACTTAAAGAATCCATACAGGAGGGTAAAGGGTTGGTGGAATTCACAGATAATGCTTTTAAAAATTGCTCATGCAATTTTCATAATGTAAATAAAGAGATTTTATTAATCAATTCATGATAAAATAGAATATTTTGTTTATATAGAATGTTGTGTTTTTTCTTTAGTGATCATTGCTTTAATTTTATTGTACTAATTTTCAAGCATTAATACAAGTTTTTTATACACTTTATTTAAGTTGCCTGTAAAAACTTGCAAATACTGCTTTAAAGTAAAATGTGCTCTTTTTACCCTTGAGGTTACAATATTGTCCAGATGAAGATATTTGTTAGTTTATGCATTTACAAATTAATCTTTAAATTGTAATCATGTATTGATTTAAAATGAATAAATTTTCACCATAACTATTATATAATTTTTGCTATTAAATTGTAAATTCTTCTTCAGTTTTAGACTTCACTACTGCTAACTATAATTGGAGAATTTTATTTTATTTTTCTTTACTGTGAAATTTTGTTTACATTTACTCATTGTTTTTTTTTTCAATATGCTATAAGCACAAGAGACTTTTTGTATTAAGAATATATTTTCAAGTGCATTCAATAGTGCTAATTCCTAATCTGTAATTATTATTTTAGTTTCTATTTCATTAAACAAGTATAAAAGTCATATTAATACCTATTCATAATCCTCCTTGTTTTCATTTTTAAGAAACACAAAGCATGAAGAAAAGGTTGTATTAAAACTAGTAACTCCAACTATATTAAGTAATAGCATCTTAAATTTATTTGTTTTATACATGCAATCCATTAATAACATATCTGAATAAGTTCAATAGATTTTTTATATGAAAAAAAAAGGTAAGTTATATGTCTATCAGAATTACAATTATAATCATATTTAAATAGCTCTTCCTTAAGATCATTGAAAAGTGCTTAAATAGATATTTGTTCTTGTAGATATTCATTATAAAGCTTTCTATGAGTATTATAAATATTTCTTGAGGTTGCTATAACTAAAAAATCATTTTGTCTAAAAAATGACAAAATTTGTTATGGATAGACACTAGCCTTTGACATTGTGCTTACTTGATTTAAAGCCTAATAATTTAATCTTCTAAGTATCAGATAAGCTAAAGAATTTTCAAATGACTCATAATCATACCTTGGATTATTAATAGATAGAGTCTATAGATTGTTAGATCCTTTCTTGCCACTAGGGTGCGAAATGGGCCAGGTATACATGGGTGTCTAAATTATGGATGATTTACGGCAGACGGTATGTCGAAATTTTTTTAATATTTTAGCCATAGAGTTTCAAAATGCTGGATGTCTAAATTTTTTTTGGTTGCCGATATTATTATAGAC